CTATAAACCTTTCCCACTCTTATTAACCTTTCTCACACTCTTATAAACACTTCATATGCCCCTAAATATTTTCTACACTCTTAAACCTATGTAATTTTAACAACATGTAAAATTCTATATGAGTACTTGATGTGAAGTGGACAAGGAGAGATGCTGAATGTATGGGCACAGTGCGGGAGAGCAAGCAGACCCATGCTACGGTCACTGAGCCAATCAGTGCCTGAGATACAGAACACAGGGCTGTGGTTGGTCGCCTTCCATTCCATCAGCCAATAGTGTGCCATGTACAATCTCATGTTGGAAAACTTATGAAAGCAGTAGTGTCATACTGCATTTCCATTGGGTACAGTATGGTATTTATCTGCTGATGAAATACATAGTGTATTTTATTTCAATTTAATATTCTTTTAACATGCTTGAATTAAATTTTTATATTTTTAAAAAGTTTTTAGGCAAAAATAATTAAAATCATAAATATTATATAAATACCTATATATTGCAGAATCCCATGATATAGCCAAAACCCTGTGATACAGAACTAGATATTTTTTTTATTTTAAACCCACAATACAGTGAAGCCTCACTAAGTAAACTGTGATATAGTGAGGGATGACTGTATCTATTTACTTTTACACAATATATACTTAAGCCTTATATTTTGCCTCTGGAATATTGCAAAATTGTCTTTATTTGTATATGAAGATCTTCTACTAATAATCTGGGAAATTTTCCAAACTAAGGATCAGCATTTCAGTTTCTTAAATATTCATCAACAAAATATTGCAACTAGTCACAGGTGCCCATGACTGTACAACACCTTAAACATAAGAAGCAACAAAGGCAAGAAAAAGAATAGTACAGGTTGTGAGTGTAGGTGCTTTAGTGTGCCACACTATCATTCACTTACTGTGCCCTTGAACAAGTCACTTGACTCACTTTCTACATGTTTCAAATGGGAACATTAATAGCAACCACTTCAAGGGGTTGTTAAGAAGAGTGAAGAAATGATTGCATATAAACAGGCAGCCAGTACCAGTCTCAAAATAAGCATTTAACAAATGGAAGGTATTACTACTGCTGTCATCATCACCACAAAAAAGTGCTTTCCTCAAGTCCACCAGACTTGAGAAACTAAACCTTTCAAGGCCACTTTCTAGACAGAAGAGGGTTCTGAATGGCTGTTCTTCTTCTATTAAAGAAACACAGAGGACAATTTGATCCTCAAAATGGTTTCCTAGAAAGGGAAATAAAATAACTTTAATAAGCAAGCAAATTATAATTACATAACTATTTTTAAATAATGTCTCCACTCTTATCCCAGAAGCAAGCCCTAATTTGCTTATTCTTTGCTTCTAATTTCCAAATTCATTTAATAACAAAATGCAAGAAACATCAGTGGGAAGTAGTAATTGTAAAAAGTAGCAATAATGTTAATGGTAATGTTAAAAAACTGTAAGCATATAAACATCAATATAAAACTGTAAGCATATAAACAGCAATCTTCAAGGCAATTCTCAATATCAAATAACTCATAACTTCATAGTACATGTGAACAAACAATAAATTCAGGGTCAATGGCCTGATTTTCCTCCATTAACAAACAGATACAATTTTTTTATAGACCATCTCTAGGTGGTCAATAAGAGTGATTATAAGGCATCAGCTCTGGACATATATGAATTGTGGAACACTTTACAGGAGATTCCCAGGGGACCATTCAGATGCCATGAGATGAAACAATGTGAGTCTGAAGCCAACCACTGTGAGCCCCTCTGAGAAGAGGACTTCCATACTTCTGGCCCTTTTCTACATGCAAAACCACTTATGTAAATGGAAATAACAGTAACTGTTTCCTTCACTTGTTGATTTAAATAATCCTATAACACACAGGAAGCATAGAACTCAGAATGTTCAATCAGAAAGGAACTTAGGTATCCATTCTGGCCCTGTCTATTTCATATGTGGGGGTTTTGAGATTGGAAAATTCCCAAATAAGTTTTCCAGAGGTCAAGAAGGTCTTCTCTTCAGATGGCCACAGCAAACCTCACATAACCATCCAAAGAAGAGAACAAGACCATGAAACACTCAAGGAGGACCTTCTACCAACATATCCAGCGACATCTTTGTGAATGTCATGGAAGCTGTGGGCCTTTAAAACAAAAATCTCAGCCCAGATCCACCCAGAGGCTGTAACACCTCCAGTATTCCCAGGAGATATTAGGAAAACACCCAGCACAAAGCAGAGCTAACTTGCATCAAAGGAAGAGCTGTGACAGTGAGATCCAACTCTTCAGACCTGAAAAGAGAAGAGAGAATCCAAAAAAAAAGAAGAGAGAATCCAGACTGATTTCTTGGGATTTTGCAAATACCACTTCCTCTGTCCTCAGATCAGATAAATGTCTTGACATGGAAGAGATCACACTGTGAATGGCTAGGAGGGGGACAAGGAGGAGAAAGGTCATAAATACAGCTAGTAAATATACTGATACACTGTGTTACCATAGGTGGACCTGAGTACAAATTCCAGCTATGCTTTCCATAGCGATGCCAGATATGTTATTAGCCTGCAATTCATGATTTTCTCCACTATGTTAGGGGTAAAAAATTATTCCTGCATAGTTGTATTTAGGATTAGAGAACACATTCACACAACATGTAGCATGGTGCCGATCATATAGGAGGCATTCAGCGAAACATGACTTCTGATTATGAGTCTATCTACTCATTCATTACATCACATTTATTCACTACTTACTCTGGTGCCAAGCACTAAAATTTCAATAATGAATCAGCCAGATGAAGCAGTATCCATTCCTTGGCCAGAGCCTGAGGGAAGGTACAGATAAAAAACAAAACACACTGTAGTACCTTTATTAGGATGGTGAACTTTTAGAGTATTATGGAAG